GTGCCCCGGGAACTTTCGAGCAGTTCCTGGCGACCATGCAAAGAGTAAAACAAACCGAAAAGATGTGTCGGAGAGTGATTATAGCAGCGATGAAAGCGGCGGTGCCAATTTTACACCAGAGTTTACTATACATCCTCATGAGCAGCTGGCTGCAGATGTAACATAATGCAACCTTGTAGTCTATACGTGCATACTTGCAGTCCTCTTTTATTCTTTCCTGCTTACACAATTTCTGGTCAAAAAGCGAAGGGTCCATCGCAATGCCATAAATGAGACTAATGTATCCCTTCGAATTAAGGTACTGTACAATGATGCGTATGCTTTCATCGAGGTTTGCCTTGTCAGTCTTGATATGAATCTCAGGGCTTTCGGGATCTTCGTAGGGAGCAGAAATGCCCGTGAAGTCTGTAGGGACGAAGTCAATGACTTGTTACGAATAGGCCAGGCCGACGAGACCGCTGCATGCCTTTGATTTCCCCCGCACGCGCCTTCTTGTACAGGCCCTTTGGATCGCGAGCCTCGACAACGCTCAGTGGTGCGTCCACGAAGACCTCAACGAAGTCGATACCGCTCTTTGCGTGAAGTTCCCGCGCGACAGCGCGGTCCGCACGGTAAGGCGAGATGAACGCGGTGATGCAGACGCACGCCGCATCAGCGAAAAGTTTTGCAACCTAGTTATGACGATGGGGGGGGGGGGGGGGGGGGGAGTGGCGGAGATTCGTTAGACGATGTTTCAGGAAAAGAAGTAAAGGTCCCCGGGAAACGAAAGAAAGAACAGCGTCAGGGCGCACCTCTCCTATCCGCCGGATATTCTCATTCCGCGACTTCTCGTCAAACCCTAAGTCCTTGTTCAGTCCAAAGCGAACGTTGTCCCCGTCGAGTCTGTATGCGAACTTTTTAAGGTGCAGGAGATGCTGCTCTAGTGCGCATGCGATGGTCGACTGCACTGGTATTCGAATTAGCACAAGTTACCGCATACAAATAAGAGGTACGAATGACATGCCTTCCCGCTTGCGCTGAGGCCTGTAAGCCAGATTGTGACGCCCTTCTGCTTCAAGAGCTCGACACGCTCTGCAGACTCCACGGATCCTGTATACATCATAATTAGTCACGTAAAAAGCGTACAAAGTGTGACCTTTGCAAGGTGGAAAGACCTTTATGAAAAGTTAGATTTGTCGCCATCTGGGATGCTAAATGATTGCAATTGGAAGGACAGAAAAGGCATTGGATGGTGGTCGGGCAAGTCGCTAGTCCCAGTGGAAAGTGACTCGTGCGAGATCGAGCGAAAACGGACCAAATCGGACCGCACGATTTGGCTCGATATCGCAAAATAAAATGAGAATACTACAATTTTTTTCAAGCGAGATTGAGACAGAAAGAGGGAAATCGGACTATTCGAGCGCGCTCTTTTTTACTCAATGTATTATCTAGTCAGATTGTGCCATATCGTGGGGTTTCTATTGAATTATTGCAGCAAAACAAGCAACATCCAATCAAATTGTGCCATTGATCACACATTGTAAAATTTGAAATCGAGCGAAATCGGGCCACCTATGGCACCCACCCCAGCTTACCTAGTTAGGCGGGTACCTGCATAGGAGGCACCTGGCTAGTTAGGTTACTTTGCATAACAATCGCCTCTACCGTCAATACTACCTCAGATAATCCCTCGGGGACTTAAGTCAGCTCAGGCCTGGAGCATGCCGGTCGCCGGCCACTGGGTTTCCCACACCGCTGATCACGCCACACAGTCTGCAACATGTCACGCTCAACATTGCCGACGATGATGATGACTGTCCCGCTCCGTTCTGCTCTGTTCTGCTCTGTTTCTTTTGCATTGTGCGGCATTTTTCCAGCTTGCTATAGCCGCTCGCTAATTGCACCATGCGCTTTACGAGATCCTTTCGGACAAGTAGTGCAGACAGTCGAGGACAGCCTACAGGGTTCGGGGAATCTACAGTGTCTTGATCAAGAAGAGAGAAAGGCCAACAAGGGACTCAACACTGGGACGACACGACACTGACTCGTTCCCTCTCAATCAATCCTGTCGAGACGGCGATGCTGTGGGGCGAGGTCGCGGGCTGTCCGTGACAGACAATGGTGTTACGATCCTGAAACGAAGTGAAAGATTGTCTTGTAAAGTAGGCATTATCGTTGTGCTTGCATATATTTGGTCCCAGCTGGTGGCAATACAAAAAGTGTACAAAATTTGCGTTAAGCGAGTGTACTTTGGTATCGGCGCCCGTGCCACAACCACTACAAAACTCAAACTTGTTACCAAATTAGGAAAATCCCCCATGCTCAGCACCATTCTCATTTGTATTTTCAGCATAGTAATTCTTCTACTGCACGTAAAATCATGATTTCTTTTGCGTTATGCAGCGCCTCACAATACCTACACGATTATGTAACATAGTATATGGGTTCTGGGGCTGAAAAATAATCACTGAGACGATTTGTTCTGAACCTATCCAGCCTGCAGACTTTGCAGGCTGTATGCACCAAATTCCGAAAAACCCAAGCTGGTACTTGTTGGATGATATAATCCATTGCTTATCAATCATTGATTCATATCATACATTGTGTGCACTAGGTATGAACCCTAGACTCCTCAATGATACCAATGGCTGATAGCTCGATGGTTAGAGCTACCAGTATAGAACTGGGAGGTTGTTGGTTCAATCCCAACTCTGGGCATTGTTTTCACTTATGTTGCTAATAGTACTTCTCTGGCCTGATGAGACGTTTGGGAAGGTATACTTCAGGCCTTCCAGATGGTGTATCTATCTCTCCCATCCGTTTGGTATTCAGCTCAGAATTCAATTTTGAAAACCCTGTCAAATGCTGGAATGTGTTGCCCTGGACTGTACGATTATTTTTATTTTTTTATCATTGCAATCGGACCAGAACTCGCTTCTCTATCAGCAGATTACTATAAACCATGATGGGAATGACTCAAACTGGCTACCAACCAGGATTGTAACCTGCCATGCGAAGCAGTGGCCACTACCCCCAAGTCGAGTAAGGTTCAGAAGCGAGATCGGTGTCGAGAAAAGTGTGGAGCATCGATCGTGAAGTCGAGAAGAGCGAACGGGCGATCGAGAAGAGAGAAGATGAGAAGTGTGTGTCAATCCTATTCAGTGTGGCGCAGTGTGGCAATCGCGAAGGGGAAGACCTCGTACAAAGATGCCTCTATCTCGACTAAATACCAAATCCTGTTTCTGTCTACGGTCCGTGCACAATCCCAGTAAGGTAACTGAACAAAGAGTGCTCCGCGATGTCTCCGCGACTCAACTCATCATCCCTGTGTCATCCGCGTCGATCCTCGGTCCTTCGTCCGCGTCCACAATCGTGCTTGATCCTCTATCCGTGTCTGTACTCGTCCTCGATCCTTCGTCTGTCTCGGTGCTCAACCGCAATCCTATCCCATTCTGCGACGATATCGGAAGGTAGCCAGTGGTACACTGGTACACCTCCCCCTGACTTTGAAATAGTGACCATCCTTGGTCACTACCGTGCGGGCGAGACGAGGATGCGTGATTATTCGAGGTCAATGGTAATGTGGTCGCTGTTGGCAGGTGCGGGGTTGTGGGGAGGGGTAGGAGCGGGTGTGGCTTCCACGTCGGTGTCATCATCGTTGAGGGGGTCATTGTGATCTTCTTTGTTGTGGTTGTCGTCGAGTATGGAGACCCTGAGGATAGTGGGACCAGGGATGCAAAGGCTGGCATATTCCTCGAGTACGCGGAGGCGGCGGAAAATTTCTGAGGTCGCGATGTTGGTAAACTCAGCGCCGAGAACGGCACGTGGGTTGTCTTCGATACCGAGATGACGGTAAAGGGCTTTGATGACATCGTCAACGCGGTCGAAACTGATCACAGCGAGAGCGCAGTTGTGGCCAACCTCCTCGAGGAAAAGGCGACGGAGCTCGTTCTGAGTATGGTGGAGCCGGTGGGGACTGACGCGGGGTATAATCTGTGGATAGCGTTGGAAGAGCGCACTGATAAAGCTCCTCCATGGGTCACGGGGATCAATGACGATCGAGAGCCAGGTTGTGGAGAACGGGGGGCCTGCGTAGTCAATCGCGAGCTAGATCATTGTGGTGTCGTCGACGCGGCTGAGGGTCGCGAACCACGCGGTTGAGATGAGGAGGTGGGGGACTCGGGTATTTTTGAACAAGTTTAAGCATAATTGAAGTGTATTGTGTGAGACTAATGAGACAATTTGGACTACAAAGGATGTGGTTTCTGTCTATTCGTCATGCTCGTCAGTCCAGTCCGCCGCAATGTCAGGCTGGTCCTCTGCAATGTTGTCCTGCGTGTTAGCGAGCTCGTCGAGGTCGCGGTCTGTTCGCTGGACGTGTTGGGTAAGCGGGACTGTGAGCTGGGATCGCGGATGGTATGGAATAACGCGGAACGCCACAAAGCGGTTCTTGTATAGAGAGCTGTCCATGTTGGCGAGGATGTATGACCTGCCCTTGGTGCGGCGAGCGACGACGAGAGGGATGAGGTAGCGATGTTTGGTCTTGCGATTGAGCTCCTTCTTGACGCGCGTGTTCCGTGCTAGGACAAGGGTGCCGGGCTCGAAGTTGTACTCCTTGATCGAGTGCTCGTATTCAGATCGAAAACAGTGTGTGGCTTTGAATCTTGATGCGAGTACGCGATCGTGTCCTGTCGCGAGATCTTCTGAGCGGCATTGGAGGTCATTGGCGCCTCTGGCAAGAAGCTCAATGCGAGAGATAGTGCAGTTGAGGGTCGGGGACACGTAGGTCGCCTCAATAAGGTCGAGTGGAAGCATGGGCTCCACTCTGTGCATAAGTAGTATGGTGAGTATATTGGATATAGCATGATCTTGGACACTTTATTTCCTTTTATTATTTTGCGTACCAGGTGACTTGAACTCCTGACTTGTTGTTCTGCGTCACCTGACATGTTGATGTATTATGTAATGCTTCCCTTGAAGCGGCAGAGTCCATGGATGGTGCTCTCTATCTTTTGCACTCATCCATTGGACTCAGGCATGTTTAGTTTCTCTAATACATCATCTTTTGCACTCATCCATTGGACTCAGGTCACTGTCTGTGTTTGTTGTGAGACCACTCTGCCTCACAGGCAGTTCAGACCCATTTCATTCCATTTGGTTGTTGTTGGATCAGATAGTCTATTGGTTGTGAAGCTCGACTGCAGGGCCTTAGTTTGCCCTTTGTGACGCTCTTTTGAGTGTTTACTTAAGCCTAGAGCCTCTCTCATCCAGCGGTGCCTGCGGAGTCTTAACAGACTGACAGACCAGCACTGTCTTGCGACGATTCTGTGTATACCTCGATCATTTTGGGTGTTTGGAATCTGTTTGGCTGGTATTGACCTGATATCTGCAAATCGCGTAATTCGGCTTGTACACGTTTTCGGCCATCACGCCCCAACCGCTTGTCCGTTTGATCCCCAACTTCGCACTCTCACTCGCACCACCATCATCTACCATCGCTCTCATCGTCATGTCCGCATCTACCACCTCCGACTCGCAATCGACATTTTCCTTCGCTAAGCTCAATGACAGCAACTATGCGACATGGAAACTCGAAATGCGAGCTGCTCTCCAAGCCAAGACTCTCTGGCGCATCGCTTCTGGCATTGCGACGAAACCATCAAAGGCAGAGGAGCAGGAGGCATGGGAGGAGAAATCGGAGCAAGCAGCTGGCTTTATCTACGGAAAACTCGAGCATGGCATGCAGATCCTGGTTCAGGACGATTTGGATAACCCAGTGGAGATGCTGAAGAAGCTGAAGGAGCTCAACCAGCAGGACAATGCGGCGTCGCGTTTTATTGCCTATGACGAGTTCTTCAGCATTGCCAAAGCCGAGGACGAGTCGCTTACTGCTCTCACTGCTCGCGTTGAGGAGTCGTTGCACAAGCTCAGGAATGCACGCAGCTCCAAGCTCACCCTTGTCCAGTTCGAGGATGAGCTTGCATCCATGTGTCTTATTCGCGCTCTCCCAGACGAGTACAAGGCTTTTCGATCTGCCCTGCTGCTTATGCCTACCTTCACCCTCGAGACGGTCAAGAAAGCGTTCTTGCAGGAGCAGAAAGCTAGTGGCCCTCGTGCTGCAGACTCTGCACTCGCTCTCAAGACCTCTACTCCATCCTCCAAATCGACTTCATCATCCTCCTCCTCGTCTCAGCCTCTTGTCTGCGATTTCTGCGGCATGAAGAACCACCTTGAAGCAACTTGCTACAAGCGTCGTGATGCAATGAAGGAGTTGAAGGACAAGAAGAAGAGGGGAGGCAAGGCAAAGGCAAATGCGGCGCAGGAGGACACAGAGTCGACTCAGTCTGCTGAGTTTGCTGGCAATGCAAGTACCCATGACTTCACAAATCCCAACTCGCCCCTCCTCTCTGATGCAGGATCTGACTGGATTGTTGATACAGGCGCCACTTGCCACATGACACCTCATCGTCATTGGTTCAACCAATATACCCCTAATCGCACACCCATCCGCCTCGCCAACAACGACGTTATTTACTCAGTTGGAATGGGGACTGTCCGCTTTCAACCAGTGGTCAATGGAAAGAAGGGTCGTCTACTAGAGTTTGAGCGCGTTCTTCATGTACCAGATCTCAGAAACAATCTCCTCTCAGTCCTGTATTTAACTCGTGTCAAATCCTACATTGTCACTATCAAGTCTGATCAGATTCTATTTCGTCGCAACGGCACTCTCCTCTTCACTGCTGCAATCAACACCAACTACGCCGCGTTTCTCAATGGACAAGTTGTGCCCATGACCCAATTCTCTGGCATGGTTAGCACCTGTCCACTCGACTTAACACTCTGGCATCGTCGTTTTGCGCACTTAAATCATGGGGATGTCAAGAGACTGATTGATCATGACATGGTTAAGGGGATTACTGTGAAGTCTATGGAGTCGCCTGACCCAATCTGCGAGCCTTGCATTGCAGGCAAGCAGCATAGGTCGAATGTCTCAAGACTTGCGTCCCATCGCTCTACTGGTCTGTTGCAGCTGGTCCACTCTGATGTGCATGGCCCTCTGCCAGTTCAAACTCGGCATGGTTATCGTTACTGGATCACATTCATTGATGATTTCAGTCGGCGTTGGGGAGTCATACCCCTTAAAAAGAAAAGCGATGCGTTTGACGCTTTCAAGCGCTACAAAGCACATGCAGAGAACCAGCTCAACCTGAAGATCAAAGCGACGCGCGATGACAAGGGAGGAGAGTACATGCCCAAGGCATGGGAGCAATTCTGCATTTCTGAAGGGATTCACCGGCAACACACTGTTCGTGATGAACCCCACCAGAATGGAGTAGCTGAGCGAGCAAATCGCACTTTGGCTGAGGGCATTACCACCATGCTGAACGAAGCACACCTACCTGCCAGTTTCTGGTGGGATGCGGTCAATGCTTTTGTTCATGTGCACAATCGCTCTCCTACTTCTGCTGTCCAGGGCAAGACACCCTATGAGCTGTGGCACAATTCCAAGCCGGATGTGTCGCATTTTCGAGTATTTGGCTGCACCTCCTATGTGCATGTCAAGAAAGATATGCGCAAACAGCTCCAGTCACACACACAGAAATGCTCTTTTATTGGTTACCCTGAGAACTACAAAGGCTGGATATTCTGGAACTCCATAACGCGCAAAGAGGTCATTAGTGACTCTGCTCAGTTTGATGAGCGCGTGTTCCCTGGAA